AAAGTTATTGTCGAAAATGTATTTTGTTTGCATGACATGTAACCTCCCCCGAAAGTGTAAAATGAGTGAAACTACTAGAAAAGGGGGTATGAACTCACCTTTTATGCTTTCCCTAGAAGATGGAAATAAATGGTGAGAAAGATGATGTGGGAATCAAGCTTTAGGAGACAACACCTTCTTGAACTTTGATATGTGTAAAATGCACTAGTTTTATTCCTACTTTTAAATTATAAATTTAGCACACAAAGGCAGTGAACATGTCTTTTAGTGGTATAGTTAGATAAGTAGAGTGTCGAACTCAGGGAACGAAAATTAAACTAATAACTAATTTTAACTAAACAAGTAATAAAATTAAAGGTTTTTCTCTAGTTTTACAAGACTAGAAACTTAAACACATCACCTAACAAGTGATTAACTAAACAACTAAAAACAAGTAAAAATTCACCCAATTTGATAAAGAATTCTTGTTTAGGTCCAACCAATTCACTCCTATGGTTATTTGTATAATAAAATGATAAATTAATTGTTATTGGTTACCAACTATAGTGGTTATATTCATGTTCACTATTACTAACCCTTAGACAATTAATCAATTCAAGCAGTGACCAATTGTTTAAACTAATTAATTCACTAGTTCAATTATTTGGATTAAATAAGATTTGTAATTGGTTAATCAAGTTGGTGATTTAATTAACCTCTTGTTTGTTGGTTTCTCAAACAAGCTCACACATTAATTTACCTATTCTCTAATTAATCCTAGTTTCATGTTCATTATTCCTAGACATATGATAAAATGTGAATATAAACATATGAGGTTAACAACTAAGAGATGTTCATGCAGCTTAATTGTCTTCCAATTAATAGAAAATAGTTGTGGTTAATGCATAAGGTTCTTTAACAAACTTAATTTAATAAAATCACCAATAAACAATCAATAAAAGTAATAATTAAACCATAGGAGTAACTTGGTTTTTCCTAAACAGAAACAATACGAATTTAGCTCATGATTACAGTGGAAACAAGCTCAAAAACGAATTTAACTAGTCTAGACATGATTCAATCCTAAGATTAAGTGGAAAATATAATATAATTCGCCTTGAGTCTTCAAAAGATCAAAGTTTAGGGTTCTTCAGGTCTCCAAAGGGTTCTTCAATCGCAGGCGTATCTCCCAAAAAGCCAGAAAAGTCTCTAATTCGGAATAAGATCCAATATTTATACTTATCACAAAACAGGGGCAACTCGGCGAGTAGGTCCCCAACTCGCCGAGTAGACATGTAAAATCCGTGTACGACAAGGATTCCTGACTTTTCTTCGGGAATATTCTCTGGAACTCGCCGAGTAGCTCCATGGACTCGCCAAGTTGATGTGGATGTCTTCCTTTTTCTTCATTCTTTGGTCTCTAATTGCTTCTCCTTATTCCTTTTTACTTCCAAGCATGTCTTCTGGACTGAAAACACAATTTAAGCATTATTAAGTACCTTTTGTCCACATTATGCACATAATTAGCTAAAAATGAATAAAAATCTATACTAAACATATGGCTAATTATGCACATATCAAACTTCAAGATCTTGCCTAGGGTTTTTGATTCAAGATTATGAGTAAAAATAACCAAAAGATGATGATGGATGGTGGTAAATCTCGAAAACTAGGAGGAAAACACTTACCAAAAGTCTTGAAAAAAGCTTGGAAACAACTTGGGTGTTCTTGGAATCACTAGATGGAGTGTAAGAGAGTTTGAAGATGGAGAGAGGGTGGGGAAAAGGCCTCTTGGCCGAGTTTTATAAAGAGGAGAGGATATGATGGTGGTGGTTTCATGGGGAAGTAGCAACACTCTTTCTTTTGAATATAAAATTCTAGGGTTAAGACTTTTAGATTATTATATTCCAAGTAGGATTTACTTTGAATTATAATATATAAAGTATGATTTCTTTAGATTATAATATATAAAGTAAGATTTCTTTTGATTATAATATATAAAGTAAGATTTCTCTTGATTATAATATATATATATATATATATATATATATATTATAATATATAAAATAAGATTTTTTTTATTACAATAAAAGAGGATATGATTATGTTGGGATAAGATGGATATGTTGAGAGAGAGAGAGAGATCATAATTTGTCTCATATTGGTTTTTATAAAATCTTCATCTATTTTATAAAACTATTTTATAAAACTTGACGCTTTTATAAAAATGTAGTAACAAAATGTTGTGTAATTAAGTATATTATAAGGTATATCAACTAATAAAAACAATGTTATTTGCTATTATAAATCATAATATTAAAACCTTATAATTTAACTATTTTTTTTCAATTAGCTTATATAAAATATGAGCGCTAAAATGCGATCCCTTTCGTTTTCTCAGTGTTTGATCCTTTTTTCTGGGAAAGAGTATGAAGCTACATACTAGGTCACATTACGTTCCATGTTTCTATAGATATGTGATCACATATACATTGTGTTACTAATATTATTTATACCGAAATAATATTTGTGTGTTTGACCCATTTTCAAGCTACTAACATGCTATTTATATGTAATTAAAATGTTTACTCGATAATTGATTCGAAATACCTTATGTAGTATTATAATACCCAATAATACATTAGGAAAGTTATGAAAATTACATTTCACCCATTTAACCTAATTTACGCTTAGTTGCCTTTTGTTGACCAAAATTTGACGGATGTCACAAGATGTTTGTTTATTATTGTACTACACTAATTTTGTAATAAATACAATATTATGATTTTTGGATTATTGGATTAGAACCTGTAAGGTTTGAGAATGGTTGAGAGTTGTGGGAAACTGATATAATTGAATATTATATGAGGTTATTGTTATGTGGAGTAACGAATTGGTTGAGTTGCATTATGAATGAGTTATGTAGATTATATAATTAATCTAGTTATATTGAATGTGAATAATGGAATGTTTGTATATTCATTTATGGATATGTGAAATGGAGAATTAATATAATGAAGTATTATTGTGGATTGCATACAAGTTGTTTGGTTAATAACTATTAATTGGTATTAGAGAATACTTCCATTATATTATATATGAAATTGTACGTCCGTTGTACGATGGGATATTGATGTACCGTTAGTGTATAAGTATGTGTTAGACTAAGGTAGTGATGATGCAATAAAACAGAGTAGTGAGGTCGTATAACTTTGATGGAATCATGGCAATAATAGTATTATATTATGAGTCCATATGTTTAAAATGTATAGTAGATGGGTGACTGCAATATCATTATTAGAGAAATTCAAGTCAATGGCAGACTTGGTGTTAGTAACGCTATACTTGAGGATTGCTCAGAATGAAATTAATGGTATGTTCTGTGCTGTAATTACCATAGTGTGGGAATTGGTTATTAGTGGTATGCTTAGTGTTGTAATTACTACTATATGATCTTTGATGAAAGTATGGATTGTAATGGTATGCTTGGTGCTGGAAATACCACTAGAAATGAATATTATTAGTCATGATAGACTTAGTGACTATGATATCATAGACTAATATTAGTGGTGGTCTTGGTGACCGTAACACTACTGTATCAACAATTGTTATTTGTAGTGGTCTTAGTTACCGTAACACCATGGGGTTGTGAGAATGCTTGAATGCTTGTATGTTAATATTATATTATGATGATAGCATTGGTGGTTGTAATATTATCATTTGGAGAATTGTAAATATATAGTAACCTTGATGATTAAAATACTATATTTGCAAAAGAATATGTTGTTGTGAAAGTTTAAATGGCTTCAATGTCAGGGAGAGAAATATTGATTAGAAGAATTATAAATTATTAATTATTAGTGGGGAGAGGTTGAGTGTAATTGATGATGACTTGCTTGACTATAAGTCCAATATAAATGATAAATGACAGACTTGGTGTTAGAAATGTTGTATTGAGTATTGACTGATTGGAAGACATTTAATGTACGATTGAGAATGTGATGATATATATTTAGTTGTATAACTAATTTCGGTTGTGTTATGCAGGTTGCTCACTAAGCTCTTTGTAGTTTATCTATTTGTTGTTGTCTTTTAGGTTCAAATAGATGTGTAGAAGGAAGTGGAGTTAGTAGCGTCCAACTTAGGATTCTTACACTAGATTCTTGTCAGATTCTCTTAATAACTACTTGTACCGATTTGTGATACGATTGTAAACCGAATGTAATGGTTCATGTTTTATAAAAAAATCTGGGAGTACTTTGTGTTAAAAATTTATGCGTTACACTGCCCACACTGCACTAAACCGCATAACGCAGCTTAGAACCTTCGCGACAAAGTTTGCAGTTTCTGTAAATCTTAAACCGAACATGCAATGCGGCTTTGACTCTAAACCATACCAAAACGCACCGTACAAACCCTAGATTTTTATGTACCAATGATTTTGTTACATAGATGCTAGTTTATCCCAAATAGTTCTATTCTAGATGATGCATTGTTGATATATGAAACAAAAAAAAAAAACAAAAAACACTAATAAGATTTTAATTTTTGTTTATTTGTGGCCATGTATTGCTGTCATTTTATAATATTTTTATCACAATTTTGTAGAGAAAAGATTGGTTGAAAATAAACTTTTGTTGTTACTTTATATAAAAATTAAATTTAACTTAAAATGAATTGTTACGTGCATATTCAAAATTGAAAAAGAAAATTATAATTAAAAATTGGTTTAGCCATTTCATTCAAAGAATTAGACGTAACCAGTGACACATCACTTTTGAAGATTAAAAGCAATCATCATTTTGAAGAGTAAGGGCATTTCAATGTATGGATATTATTCCTTATTTGGTGGTGGCATGAAACGCATTACCATACATTATTTTTATTTTTTTATATTGTTTGTTTCGTATATCAATCAATAACTATATTTGATAAAGTTATTTAGATATATTTTATTTATTTATTAATAAATAACTTTTTCATATTAAGTTTCAAAGCAACTTTTAAATAAAGAGTAAATTACAAAAAGCATTTATATGACATCTTTATATTAATAAATTGTACTCGTAAATGTTGATATACATGGTATTTTATATTAGAAAAAGGAATTTTCGTTGGTCAAAGTCCAGAAAAAAAATATGATGACATATCATTTTATAAATAATCATTTTCATAAAATTTTATTATTATTTTAAATAGATGAAACTAATTTTTTTATAGAATTTTATGAATGTTAGTTTCCCCAGTTAACACCGTTGGTATATATATGATTTGTGAGGGAGGAAAATTGACTAGGGTTTCTTGTCTTCCAGCGTAGGTTCAAAGCTCAACAATTCGTTTTCGTTTCTTCCTTCCATTAAAATCAATCCAATTCCATGGGTTCTGCTTGCAAGGTACTTACTAATCTTCTTCGTTATCACGTCTGTTAGTTCGGTATCCTTGATTTTCTGAATACTTGCTTTTAATCGATTGATTTCCCCAACGAACAGTTCCTCTTCTGTAGGATACGAATTCTGAATTTTCAATTTCATCTAAGCGAACCAATTGGTAATCAGGGTAGATAATAGAAAGAGTTGCACTTTTTCACCCTGCAGTTTTTCCTAATTCTCTGATAAATCATGAATCATTTACATAAATTTGCACTGTTTTGCCAATACGTAAATGAATTTGTAAATGGTGGCTCATGTAGTTAAACATTTTAGCTGTAATCGAATTCATTAGGTCTCAATTCTCAATGAGTTTTGGTTCTATGAAAGACGATTTGATAGCGTATGGAGGATCTTTATTGGTCAAAAGAGAGGAAAACTACAGAAATGATATTTCAAGGACGTAGGTTGAAAATACAAAGAAGTTCCTCCAAACTAGTAATCATACTCATACGAAGGTTCTCATGGTAGTTAATAATAATATTCATTTGTCAATTCTTCCTTCTCTCCTAAACTAATCATTCATCTGTCAATTTTATAAAAAGAGAATGGATAATAATGTGTAACTAAACTGATATTATTATGAAAGTTTACATATGTGATTGATGTATCAGTTTGTTCAAAAGACAAGAATGCCCTCACCCTCATCCTCAAAAATAATCTGATTGACAATAATTTGGTGTTAATAGGATGAGAGGGAGGAAGTAATTCAAGCATGGTATATGGATGATAGCAATGAAGACCAAAGGCTTCCCCATCATAGAGACCCAAAGGAATTTGTTTCTCTAGACAAACTTGCAGGTAAAAAGAAAAAAAAAATTATATAATTTTTTTCTTTCTTTTTTGTATAAATTCTTGAAAGTGTAGAATCATAAATAAATAAATTAGTTTGTGAATGACACAGAACTTGGGATCCTTAGTTGGCGTTTGGATGCTGATAACTATGAAACTGATGAAGAACTGAAGAAAATCCGTGAATCACGTGGATACTCATATGTGGTTTGTGTTAAATTAATTCATTAATTATATTATATTTTTTTAATGAAACAAAGTTTCATGATATTAATTAAAATGCATCTTTATTTTCTATAAGTAACTAGTAAATATATATTTCTTTATTATAATCAATATAATCATGGGTTTCATTGAGCTTTTGTTATCTTCAATTTAGTATTTTTTTTAAATAAAAAACTCATTAGTCATAATTAAATAATTACAATTTTCAGGATTTCTGTGACATTCGGCCAGAAAAGCTTCCAAATTATGAAGAAAAGATCAAAAGCTTTTTTGAAGAGCATCTTCATACTGATGAGGAGATCCGCTATTGTGTTGCTGGAAGTGGTAATTACTAATTACTAATTACTAATTATTTATTTTTGTGTTCTATTTATTTATTTATTTTAAAATTGTTGTTTTTGAAGGATACTTCGATGTGAGAGATAAAAATGATGCTTGGATTCGCGTTTGGGTTAAGAAAGGCGGCATGATTGTGTTGCCAGCTGGCATTTATCATCGCTTCACACTTGATTCAGATAACTACATCAAGGTAAAATTTAAAAAAAAAAAAAGTTCATTAATTATTAAAATTATGATTATTTATTTATTTTATGAGTAATTGTTGTTTAATTTTGTTGGCAGGCAATGCGGCTTTTTGTTGGTGACCCAATTTGGACTCCGTTTAATCGACCACATGATCACTTGCCTGCAAGGTATTTATTTTATTTTAGTTTATTTTTATTTATCGTCAAAAACATTCTATCGAAGTTTTGTTAATTTTTTTTTAATGAAAATGATGCAGGAAAGAATATCTTGAAACTTTTGTGGAGAAGGGGGACAGTGTTGTTGATGCAGCTGCTTGAGAGTTGAGAAATAATATTTGTTGCAATTATTAAAATAAGCAGTAGTGGCTTGCTATGCTGCTGTATTCTATCTCAATTTTAACAACCTATGTATGTATTAACATTAACTTTGTGCCTAAATCATATATATGCATATGGTTATGTTGCTCTATAAATCCATATGGTGTTCCCTACTTTAGCGTGCTCGTTATGAGAAAATGATATTTGACTAAAGGTTATTCATTTTATTTACCAGCCTTTCTGGATTTCCGGGGTAGAATCTACCGTTGTGGAGTCTTACACTTCCACACGCTTGATCTATCTAATTTGTGGAATCTAGAGAGTTAGACTTCAGGGTTGTTGTAGTTGCTACATGCTTCAAATTTCAGTCCTTCAAGTTTGACAAGGGTGCATTGAGTTGGTTTAAGGACAAAACCACCGCACTAATGCTGGAGGATGGTGTCTCCCGAAGAGATTTCTCACTATCAGAGTCGGAAAGTGCGAAGAGTTTGATCAAGCATGCTGTGAAGGCTAAACATCCGTTTTAGTTCTTATCTAGTTTTCTACCAGTCTATTATAGTAATATAGAATCTATTATGCTCATATCTATTGCCCACGATGCTTCAGCTAGTGCGTATCAAATCATGTCTTATTTCTTGCTGGATGAATGGATGGCGAGGAAGATGAATATAATTCAATCTCCTAAAGGTGAAATAGAAGATATTTATCTATCTATCTTGTGTGAACTGAAATCTTATATAGTGAAAAAAGTAGAAGATAGTAATCTCTCCGAAACCCTTGTGGAGGTACTCGATAGAAAGATAGTGAAATCGATCTTTATGCCTATAATCTATAGGAAGACGGTTGTGAGCAATGTTTTAAAACCCGGGTCGATCCGGCCGGTTCAACCGGTTGGACCGTGACCCGGGGTAGAAGGTGGGTCAATTGAGAATGATTTTTTGTAAAATTACGGATCGGATCGAACCGGTCGGGTTTCCCCTAAACGGCAGTTCAACCGCTTATGTTGAACCGATTAAAATCAGATTGACCCGTTTTGATAGGGTTTGGATAGTTGGATACCAGTACCGAACGCCAAAACAACGAGTCATTTGCGGTTTTTTCAATGTTTTTCAGTGTTTAAACTTTGTAGACATCAAATTATTAGTTTTATATGTTTATGCATTATGCGGAAAAATAAAAATATATAAAAATTGAAAAAGATCATAATTCGGGTTGACCCGGCGGTTCAACCGGTTGAACCGTGAACCGGTCATCACACCGGGTCAACTAAAAACCCGAGTTTTAAAACATTGGTTATGAGCACAGATCACGATATAAAGGAGAGTATCTAGATCCTTGACACCGAAGGAGTGCTTTCAGATTGCGAAACTGTGCTTTGAGTTTTGGAAAGATAGGTTTCATAACATGGAATGTTTTATCTGTTTGATCCGTAGTATAGGCTGGGCTGGGTTGCCTCAGTTAGTGATCGCTATGAGGTAGTTAGTGATCGCTATGAGGTAGAGAACATTCTAACAATCCAGGACTATATGAAGATGGAACCAATCCATATATGGGTTTATGATAAATTACATAAGAAAAGACATCAAGTAACTCTGAGAGTAGCTACTGATACACAAGATCGCAGGAAGACAGAGATCTTATCGTTTGTCAACTTCATCCATAAGAAGGATGCATATATTGCTATGAAAGTGGTAGAACATTTACTTTATTATAAAGTACCTATCTATACTGTTCACGACAACTTTATAAGCTCTACGTATCATAGCAAAAAAAAAATTGCTGGTATTTATAATAATGCAATTATTAGTCTGGGGCGTCCTCTAAGAATCATAAATGAGTTCATTTATTTGAATGTCATGAAACATATTTCTGTAAAATATGATGGAGAAATCTCAGATTCTCATATGGATCATGTAATCCCAATAGATTCATTACAGTATTATTTGGAAGAAAATATCCCATCAGACATACACCTTTATTATTCTAAGAGGAAAATATGGGAAGATAAGATCCAGATTATTTGAACTCTTACGATGCCTATACTCGTCTTGTATGCGGAGAGTATTGTCGTTTGCATAAAAAGAAATATGAGGATTTCATTTCTATGATGAAGAGAAAGTCCGAGCTCCCCTTATATAGCACGTACTATTAAAGAAAAAGAAAAAGCCAATGTATTTAACAAGTAACAACATACAAACCATGTTTTCCACAGGTAACAACATATGAACTAGTAAGAGCATAGAAAGAATGTTTTCCACAGGTAACATCATACACACGAGGGCATACTGTACATACAATGCATATATTGACAAGTTCTTGAATCGCGTCTTTGCTAGTATAGAAAGGACATGGGTGCAGGATTTGCATAGATGGTAAATCATAGCTAGTCATAGCTTCCGCGAGCCTAAACCTTCTATTAATGATGTGGATCTACATGCTCTATGTATAATGGATCTCTTACACCAGTTTGCTTACACATCCCTCAGAGGTTACGTAAAATTTGAGATTTTACTTACCACACTACGATCTTACGGGGAGGAGATAACTTTTTCAATAGGTACTGCTATCCCCTTGACTGAGAAGGGTGGTAATTTGCTTCCTAAAAAATGGGTCTATTCTCAGCTCTATAAATTCATTTTAAAATCTTCAGGAATTTATGAGGGGGATGAAATAGTTCGAGTCACTATCAGAGTCTATATGGAACATGATAAAAAGCTGGAGAGGCCAACCCTATCTGAAGAAGAAAGATAGAACTTACTTCGTTCTGTTCTTTTAGAGGTCTCTAATAATACCGAAGAGGGATTAACCGAGAGCGATGCTCTAACAGCAAGGAAACTCCGACAAAGTAGACGCCGAAAATCTATCCCCGCGTTAAAGGAATGTAACATTAAGCAGAGACCCTTCATTGTATCCAACCTCGAGACGTAGGGCCGGTCCAAAAATATAGTAGGCCTAGGGCAAAAAGAAAAAATGGGCCCCTAAAGTCGAAGATAGATAAGCTGTTATAAAATTTGCTATTAATATTAAAATGCAAAAATATGGCCACAACATTACAAAAACCACTAATTTAAAGAAAAATATTTTTCCTAGTTTTTTTAGATAAGTTGATTTATTTTCTCTCGCTATATATACCATATATTCCAAAATTTTCGGCCCCCTGGAGACATGGGTCCTGGGCGACCGCCCGGGTTGCCCACCGTCTGGACCGGGCCTGTCGAGACGCTACTGGATGATAAGAATTATCATAAGCCTTATGCAGCTGGTCTCTTGATGGTATTTCCTGGTAAACATATAAATGATATGCTGATCGAGACCTACTTTAGCGAAGACTACTATATATTGTACTTTAGCGAAGACTACTATATATTGTGAGCGAAGACTACTATATATTGTATCCGACGGAGTTTGAAAAAAGGAGTGAGAAGGTGCTTTTTGACTTGGTATTAAGGATCTCTGCTCTAGTTAAAAAACGCAAGTCATTAAAAACTATTTACTTCCACAACTTTTCTAGATTCAATGGTATTCTCTTGCTAACGCACCTCGCATGTAACCACCTGAAATACAAGCTCAAACCTTTGATGAGGAATAACAAGCTTTATGAGTTACCTGTCTATTCGGGTAAAAAGATGTTATTCTGCTTCAGGGATTCCTATAATCTACTTCCTAGTAAACTTAATGAGCTAGCTAAGAGTCTCTGTCCTGATCTAGGCACGAAGGGTTCTATCAACTATAGCAAAGTCACTCCTAAGAAGCTGGTTAGTATGAGAGATGAATTGGTGGAATATATGAAGCAGAACATCTATCTCTTAGGTGGTGTGATGAAAAATGCACACGAGATATATTGGAATCTGTACAAAGTGGACATTTAGGGTAAAATCACCCTTTCTTCACTAGCTCTATAAATCCATATGTGGTCACAACTTTAATGCCATTCTGAATGCAAACACCAGAAATATGTAAAGAAAGATTTTCATATCTGGTTTTGTCAACTATTTATTTATATACAAATGTCTTTTAGATATATAAAATCATTGAAGAATGCCCCTCTATTCTCTAACATGTCCCTGTTTTTTATAGACATTCACTTAATGTTTTTATATGTAATCGTTTTTTACAAGACAAACATGAAGTAATTTGTGTGTGTGTATGCTTAATGTACATTCAGTGCGTGATTTGTATAGATTGAAATTCATATTTATATCAGTTATAGGCTGCTACTAAAGCAAAGGTCATGAAATCAAACCCGCTCTTACCACTGTATCGATTAAGTAAGATTAAACCCTTGCAGCATTTTGACTAATTAAAGAGCAAGTAATTCTACTTTTTCTGTGATTAAACCTTTATAAGCTGAAAGAGCATATAATCTTGTAGCAAAATAACACAAAGAAACCACATCAGCCATTATTACTCCCAAAAAAAAAAAGAGAAAAAAAAAACTCCAAAGTTATTTTCGCCGAAGAAAAGATTCAAGGGGTAGCTTGTCGATTTTTGCAGCGAGTATGAAATCATTTTCTGTGAGCCCACCTGTCCAAAAGTGACCATCATGTTCATCATTACTCCTTCATAACTAATTTATACATTTACAATATGAATTTTGCATATATTTTATGCAAAAAAAAAAAAAAAGAATTCTCGTTTAGCCTACAAGTTTTTGCCCCAATGCCTCATTTGTTACGTAGCACAACAACCTTACTCAAAAGACACTTTTGCCCCTAGTCCCCAAGTTTGGTGTGCATTGGACCACGACTCAGACTGATGTCAATGAGATAAAAATTACAACTTTTTTTTTTTACCACCAAAAAAGATGGAACATGAATTCGCTCTTAGTCTCTTGTTTGTGCAAAAGACGTAAATGCCCTCTCCTCATCCTCATTATAAAAAGAGTAAGTTACTGAAATCGTCCCTATGGTTTGGTCAAAATTGCATGTTTGGTCCCTAACTTTTTTTTTTGCACTCGGATCGTCTCTGTGGTTTGATTTTGTTGCGTTTTTCGTCCCTTACATACATAAAGTTAGGGACCAAACACGCAATTTTGACCAAACCAGAGGGACGAAAAACGTAACAAAATCAAACCACAGAGACGATCCAAGTGCAAAAAAAAAGTTAGGGATCAAACATGTAATTTTGACCAAACCATAGGAACGATTTCAGTAATTTACTCTTATAAAAAAGATAGCCCTAAAAACTTGTCTAATCATGTGTAACATGGCATAAAGTTGGGAGCTTTCTAGAGCTATTTTTTATGACGAGGATAAGGACATTCACGTCTTTTGCACAAACAAGAGTTTGAGAGTGAGTTCATGTCCCACCTTTTTGTGTGGGACACAAAATTGCAAATTTTGTCCAATTGACACCCTATTTTGTTTTGTTTTCTCATGTTAAATCTTTCTTTATTCATTAAGAATTTATATAAAAATTATAGTTAAAAGATTAAAAGATTACCACAAGCATGTGTCCATATCTCAACTGTCACATTGTTCCATCCAACAAGATGAAGATCTGGATGATGACCTAAATGGTAATTTCAAAACAAATTAGATATAATTACTCAAAGTTATGAATTAAAAAAAAATACATATTAATCTCTTTATGCAAATACAAAGTTTTCATAAAGGGATAATGACTTGAAAGGGTAACGAACTTTCGAATTTTGTCACATTTAGTCACTAAACTTTTTTTCGTTATCTATTTGCCATTAAACTATTGAAACTGTTCACATTTGACCCTTATAACCGGCTGTTACCGGTCATAAGGGTAAAATGTGAACAGTTTCAATAGTTTAGTGGCAAATAGATAATGAAAAAAAGTTTAGTGACTAAATGTGAACAAAATCGAAAGTTCATTTCCCTCTAAAAAGTTCAATGACTAAATGTGAACAAACTTCCTATTGTATTATGTTTTAGCAAAATTATTTATTTTTGTTTAATTGTAGCAACATTTGTTGATGAAGAAATCTATGAAATAAAAAAAATAAAATGTAATATCCGGATTTCCAGGTATCATCATTTAAGTATTTTTCTTTTCAGTTAAGAAGAAAGACTCGATGAGTTGACGCCTCAACTCGTCGAGTAAGGTCGCGACTGATGACTCGGATTAATGAATGGACTCGACGAGTCGGTGAGGCGACTCGACGAGTTCGCGCTGTTGGCGGAAACCCTAAATCTTTGGGCTCGAGCCAGATTTAAAGGCATTTATGGCCTTCAATTGCGACTACCTTTCCCATAAGTGAGAACCCTAGCGAGCTTGAGTGTGTAGAGTGAGAGGAAGAGCTATCTTGAGCTTTTTGGTGTGATAGATCTGGACCCTTCTAGGTTCAGAGAGCCGAGAATATGAAGCTTTAGTAGGTAAACCTTGGGGTTCAAAGTTAGGAAGCATTTATGGTATATATAATTACCTTCATCTTACACATAGATATGAAGTATTTTATATAAATTACGTGCTATGTGTGTATATTATTTGAATACTTGATGTCTATACTGGATGAACGATTTTATACATGTTTTAAAAGATTTAAACGGTATATTTATTTTATATCTACAAATATGTTGCGGATGAAACATGGGTAGATGAAATAGTTGGTGTGTGATGAAATAAAATGATGAGAGATAGGTGATGATAGAAAGGTGGTGATAATTAGGTAAATAGATGATGATGAATATGTGATGTAGGATGAAAGGAGATACCATAACCTTTACCAACAATGTGGCGATGTAGTCATCTACCAGAGTATAGATGGCGACCACAGACTATTCTAGACAACCCAGTGGAAACACCAGCAGACCCATAACCTGTAGGGGATGAATTACGAGTTCATGCGATGTTATAACTACGTATTCATGTGGTGATACTCTAACCCCTTACTATGAATTACGATTTCAGACGATGTTGTAACTACGTATTCATGGGATGTCACAAATTTCGCATGCCAAACCAATGGTCATAATTCACATCAGTGAGAATGGTTCATTTTTTTGTAAAACCAAAATCAGATTGGAAATTTTGATTTTTTATTTCGGAAAATGTCAAACCATTGGTTTTTTATTTCGGTTCTGGTTTTTTGTTTTTTTTTTTAAATATATTTTCAGGGTTTTGTTTTGTTTTTTTTATTTCATAAATTTCTTCATCAACTAATTTTGCTACAATTTAACAAAAATAAATAATTTGCTAAAACATAATACAAGAGGAGGTTTGTTCACATTTAGTCATTGAACTTTTTAGAGGGAAACGAACTTTCGATTTTGTTCATATTTAGTCACTAAATTTTTTTTCGTTATCTGTTTGCCATTGAACTATTGAAACTGTTCACATTTTACCCTTATGACCGGCTGTTGCCGGTCATAAGGGTAAAATGTGAACAGTTTCAATAGTTCAATGGCAAATAGATAACGAAAAAAAGTTTAGTGACTAAATGTGACAAAAGTCGAAAGTTTGTTACCCTTTCAAGTCATTATCCCTTTCATAAAAGCTATAGAAAATATATGCACAATCAACATATTTAAAATTTCAATTTTACTTTGACCATTTAGAACAAAATATAATGAACATGAACTTATTTAATAAATTGTTAATAAAATTCGTTTGTGCAAACTGAGAGTTTTTATAAGAAATATAATTATCTTTATATAAAATATTAATATAACGCGTACACAAACAAAAGAGGACATCTTCCATTTTTTTTATTAGAAGATCAAAATACCCTCGTAAACCAAAAAATATCTAAATATATTATTAAAATTTAAAATTTATATAATCTTTATTATTGAATTCTATTCCATTTCCTATCAACCAAACATGTGCTAGATTACGATTCCTTCCAATTTGAATTCCTTCAGATTCCAATTTCTTTAACAAATTCCATTCCTTCCAAAATCATTCTATTATCCAATGCGTTGTCAGGCTGGAATGGAATTGAATTCCGATTCCAGCCATCTACCACAGAACCATTAGCCTCTTAATAGGAGATTGTTGAAGTCAAAATTATATATATATATATATATATATATATATATATATATATATATATACACATAGAGAGAGAGAGAGAGAGAGAGAGAGAGAGAGACCTTCGGCTTCAGCCAAGTCACCAACAACCTTAAAAAACTCCAATCCTTGAAGAAAATTCTTAACTTTCCAATTCCTTCTGAGCTTCATTATGCCACCATTATTTACCAATTCCCATTCAGGCACCTAAATGAATGGAAACATAATATTATTTTCACAAATTCTAGAAAACAAAAAAAAAAATACCAAAAACAGATAAATAAGCAAACCTTAGGTTTCAACTCACTGGCATTCCCCTCTGTCATAGGACTCAAATCCTTCTTCTTGCATGGGACACATTTTTTAAGTGACAAATCTGACATTAATAATTAATAACAAACATTTAATATCTAATAAAATTTCATACAAGTCAACTTTTTGGAAGAAAGAGAATGGTCCACATATATTAAATGGAGAGAACAACAAAATAAGTATATGAAATAATATTAAAAAGGGAAACCTCTCTTGTATTTATATAGCACCAAGCAGAAAGGGAAAGATGAACATCACAAGGCATTGTTTTTTCTACAATTAATGGGGAAAAGTGGAAAATCTTCTTTCGCTAATTTTTACTTCCATTTTCAAATGTTTTCTGTCATTTTCTCGAAAAAAAAAATTTAAACATCATTTATTAGGGGAAAAAAGAAACATACCTTGGCTACTACTACAGAATGTCCTAAATCCATTAAGAATAGCTCTACTTAAAGAAATTTCCACTAAATCTGGTAGTAATTCAGCTACATGAGCACTTGAGCTGTATGCACAAAAAGCTCTTCATAGAATTATGAAACTCCACAAAAAGATATACTTATAACTTATTCATAAAAAATCAATTCACAGCGAAAACAAGAAATCAAGAAAAAAGGGCCTCGTAACTGTGGCTAAGGAATGAATGTTAGCAACATTTGAAAGAATCACAATCCTTCAGCCAATCTATTCCAATTCCATTGAGCAAAGAGTGTTTTTTAATTCCAATAGAATGACACATTCCATTCCTTCCCCAGTTCCATCACACAATTCTTAACTTTACACAAAAAGCAAACGAAAAGAGACAGTCTATACATCTTTCCACAGTATACTCATAATGTCAAGCAAATTCGAATTGCACACATTGTTGATAAATAGAAGCGATTATTGCTTAGATTTGTCGATCCGTAAAATCGAAAAGCAAACAATTGCTATGAAAATGAAAAGGGGGAGGGAGTGGTAAAGAAAAATACCGTCCATAAGGTCGAAGACAGCTTAAATGTGATGACTTCAATGGAGCCTGAAGAAAATCAAAAGGAAAAATTAAGAGCAAATATCCCCAGATAGAAAGAGAAAGAGAAAGAGAAGAAATTACATACGTAAGCAAGAGGAAGAAGCAGACGAGTGGGAAGCATCGGTGCTTTTAGAGGATCCCTACCGAACGTAGGGGGAAGTCGTGGGACTCCTTAGATAGGAATATTGGATTTGCTTTTATTTTGACTTTTGAGTAAATATTTATGCGCGTTTGGTTGGAAGAAAGAATTGAAATTGGAATTGAAAAAAAAAAAAAAAAAAAAAAAATCTAATCCAATTTTGTATTATGTTTGTTGGAATTAATTCGAAGATTGTTACAGGAAATGAAATTTGAAATTATGATTTTTTTTTTTACGGATTATGTTTAATTTTACTTTATTTTCTAACTTATATGTAAATACACATTATATAAATTATAAAAATAGTAAAATTTAAACGGTGGTGGCTAGTAGCGACAATGGTGGTGGTGGTGATGGTAGTGGTGGCGACGATGGTAGCGGCAGTGGCATTGGTGGTGACGACGATGGTGATGATGGCGACAATGATGATGGTGGTGGATGCAGTGATGGTGGTGGTAGCGAGGAGGTGGTGGTGGTGGTAGTGGCGGTGACGGTGGTGCCGGTGGTAGTAGTGGTGGATGTGACAGTAGTGGTATTGGTGGTGGTGGCGGTGGTAGTAGTGATGGTGATAGTGGTGATATTGGTGGTATGTGGTGGTGACAGTGGCGGTTGGTGGTCGGTAGCAATAGTGATGGGTGATGGTAGTGATGGTGATAAAAAACTTATTTTGATCAATAAGAATCCATTCAGCCGCTGCGCAATACTTGTGTTTCTCGAACCTGGGTTTCAAAAACAAAGTTAATTCTAGCAAATCTTCTGTTTCTCGAACTGGTCGTTTAGAAAACAAAGTTCATTCTAGCAAAATTAGTGTTTCTTAAACTATTTTGGAACTGGTGTTTTGGGACCGTTTTCTACATTTGAACTATAAAAGTTATTTTGAAAATGTTTTATTAAATGTTATTTTAAGTCACCCATGCCATGCTTGTTTCATTGCGGTTTCAAAAAAAATTACACCGGTTGTCTCTAAGGCGATTCCCGTCTAAGATGGCCATTAAATATTTGTAAAATGACTATTATACCATTTTTATTTCTTCTTATTGACACTTTTGAATAATATAGGGAGCAATTCTATAAAATCATAAATAAAACCTATTAGTAACCCAACCTTTTCAATTATACTCTACATTTTACGCACGAGCGTCCGCTTATATCAACCTTCGTCGCCTCCTTCACTGGACACACATCTTCCAAATCTATAACCGACTGCTACCTTCACCTCCTTAGTCTTCTCTCCTTCTCCTGCAACTATCTTTAACACATATCGCTCATTATAAATCCATCTCTTCTTCCCATTACTAACTTAAACTTTTCGCTTTCTGGTTTAAATTTCATATATATATATATATATATATATATATATATATATATATATATATATATATATATATATATATATATAAATATAATTAAAGCACCCATCATTGAAAAACTCCATTCACCACCATGATTAGAAGTAAAGATCATAAACTCAAATCCAACTCCATCCATTTAGTGACAACCATTTCACACCAGATCAAAAGTAAAGATCATAAATGGAAACCTACAAAGTTTGAATAACCGATGCCACCCCCTTTGCCACATGAACTTGATATGGTTCAATTTTTGTATGGAGATGAACATCCAAATATGATGTAGTTCGATTTTAAAATTTCATCTTATTTTCAGTTTTTTTTAACATCAATTCGAGTGTCCTTTAATGTGGTTTTCGATTTGTTTGATATGATTTCAGTTAGGTATACTCAGATGAAGATATGGATATGTAGTGTTTTTGTAGGCATGCTGTTTTTTTGGACGGTTGATTCCTTAAAGAATGTTTTTAGTGGACTGCTGAACGATGTATAATATGCTTATTTGTGCTAATTTTTTGGATTATTTTTGAAACATCCCAAAAAGATAGTCCTAAAAATTTCGTTTTAAAATATAATAAAACCATAGGTGTCATTCATCATATAAAAGCATAAGTCGTATATCTCGAAAAATATCATAAACAACTGTCAATATATCAAAATCATGTGACAAAACATCAAAGTAAATCATCCCAGGCTAAAAACTGTGGTGTGTGCCTTGCTAGCGGAAGTACATGAACCAAAAACTGAAAACTTTAAGCACGGAGCTTAGTGAGTCCCCCCAAACTACCACATACCATACACATAATCACATAATAGCATACATTGGGCCTAACCCACTACACCGGGCCCCGCCCGGCATCGGACGAATCCAGCATCGGGCCCCGCCCGGTATCGGACCGAAGTCCGACATCGGTCCCCGTTCGGCATCGAACCGAAGTCCGGTATACATATAACATAATCAACAAGCATATAACATAAACACATAACATAACATATAAGCTAAATCTTCCTCGGACTTGCCCCGACATCGGACCGAAGTCTGGAACATATAACACATAACATATAAACTAAACATTCCTCATGCTTGCTCCGACATCGGACCGAAGCCTGGAACATATAAAAATTACACATGCAAGAATCACGAAAACATCAAGCATACAAACATTCCTCAGGCTTGCCCCGGCATCGGACCGAAGTCTGGAAACATATAATCTACATCGGGCTAACCTTGGGATCGGACCTAAGTCCGGCGTACGCTAACATACATAAACGACCCAACATTGGTGCATTAGACCCGTTCATACTAAAGGAAAACTCACCTCGCAAAGCTGGTTGCTGAACCTCTCGGTAAGGAATCTCTATCGGCTGCTCTGGCGACTCCTCGGCTATCATTATCATAATAACACTTAGTCAAAATCCAATAATCCTTCTTAGGGTAAAATGACTATTTTACCCCCTGATCTAATTTGGACCATAACCTAGCCCTAATTCCTTCTAATACTTCCAAGCCCACTAAAGGCCTAATAATGGTCCAATTTTATACATTGTGCCCAACTCCTCAAATAGGCCTTCCCTTAAGCCCAAACATGTCCTTGGTCTATTATCTAACTTCTGATGGCCCATTTCGGCCCAATAACTGCTAAGCCCAAAGATTAGCCCAAACGTCGCAAAGCCCAAAACCCGAGAGTACGTTGAGCCTACTCCTCTGCACATTACGCGTATAGCTTGTATGCTACACGTACTGGCGTTTACGCCCAACGTACTATCCTGTTAAGCCATCAAACTTCAAAGGTGCTTATTCAATTAAGACCTTAAGCCCATATTACATATATGAGTCCCTTAGCATGTCTTAACTCATAAAGTTGACTACTTGGTGGCTTGCAACCCACCAAATAAACCCAAACTTGGAATATAACAACTAACTTCCATGAAGATGACTAGATCTCATGCATAGTCACAAATGAGCCTTAAAGATCGAAACTTTACTACTTATGGGACTTGTATATCACTATGTGTGGCACCCCTTGGCATAGAAATGAACTTGAGTCATAAAGATCCATTATTGGGACTAAAATGATCCCAAAACATCACTAGACTAGATCAAAGCATTCATAAAGAAAGTTGAAAGTTGTATACCTCCACTGAGTGCCAAATGGTGAGATAATCTCAGATCCTTGAGCTCAAGATACTCAAGTTCTTCTTCTCCAACTTCTCTTTTCTTCTTCCAAGCTCCAAATCACCAAAGTAAGCTTCACAAGGCCAAAACACACAAGGATGAAGAGGGTCTCTAGGGTTTTCTTAGGTTGAGAGGCTGGTAAGGAGGCTAGGGTTTGAGTCATAAAGTAGCATTGCCCAAACTCGACAAGTTAGATTGTCAGATCCTAAATTTTTGGTTTTGATAATTGTCTCATAGATTGATTAGGATAATTACCTTAAATTCGTTTTAATGGTTTAAAATTGGATATTTTAATCAGTAATTTTGTATCCTTATCATGAATTCATGATTGGGTTAAAGTTTTTGATAAAGATAAAATTAATTTATTAATTTAATTATTAAAAATTTAACCTAGTATTTTTGAAAAGTTTTAAAAATACACCATTGGTTTTAAAGTTTAAAATTAAATTAAAAAGTTTAATTTTGAAAATTTAAATTTAGAACCCTAGTATTTTTAAAGTTTAAAATACACCCTTATATATATTGTAAAATTAAAAGTTAATATATATATATATATATATATATATATATATATATATATGTATAAGAAAAGTCAGTCTTACCGTTAGTAGGCGTCATTCATAAAGCTGATCTATAAGGGGAGTTTAAGGAAGTGGCCTATAAAATGGCCGCTGTTGGGTATCCACTCTTACCCACCGCTCTCTTGACTAGTGGATGGTCGTTAGCCGAACGTGTTTGATAGGACACTTAATTCCCATTAATAAGTATAATGAAATATATAAAGTAACTAAATGTTTTTATAAAATTCCCAATCTTAGTTACTTTAGGAAAATGTGAATTTGATGTTACTCCATGAAACTACACATTGCACTTTATAAAAGTCGTTAGTGGAGCATGTATGGTTAACCCACACAATAATATGGACTAATAAAGGGTGGCAATGGGTAACTCGTAAATTATCATTGATTAATGTAGCATATGTGGTTAATCGGCACATTAATTAGATGATAAATGACATCGAGAGTACCAAGCTAATTTGCATGGGTATTCACACCTTGTTTGTAATCCTCGGTTCTCCAGTCACAAATGGAAAGGGCATAATCGAGATTAAACATGCCATTGAATAGTTCAATGAATCTCAAAAGATCTAGGAATTTCATCTAAAATAAATTCGCTTAAAATTTCATTTTCGTGGAGGTGAAATTGGTAAATCGTCATTTACCTACCTTTAAATAATTTCAAATTGGATTACGACATCCCTCTTCTGAATTGTGAATTATTTAGTTGGATCCTAGCCTTAATATTTCATTTGGGTGTTATATTAAGGATTTTCTTATCTAATCAAATCTTATCCTTTTCCTTTCCAGATGTCAACTTCAAACGATGCTTCCGGTTCCTCCAACCACAACTCCAACCATTTCTCGTTCTTGAGCATCTGCTCGAAGGTCACCTTTGATGGTTCTAATTTCAATGATCGGATCCGCAACATCAGAATGACCTTGAGGTTCGAGGACAAGGA